AGGAAGGAAGGAAGGAAGGAAGGAAGGAAGGAAGGAAGGAAGGAAGGCTGGAGGGAGTGAGAAAGACAAGGAGGATGAAAGGAAAGAAGGATGGAGGGAGGGAGGGAAGGAGGAAAGAAGGAAGGAGAGAAGGAAAGAAGGAAGGACAGAGGGAAGAAGAGAGAGAAAAGAGAAAGATGTATTATATTTTATGAACTGTAAGCTGCCCCAGAATCATTGACTGAGTTGAGCAATCATAGAAATTGAACAAACAAATAAAGTTGCAAAATTGCTACCTACTGCTCTTTGAAAGAGGTTTCCTTCCAGACGCTGTTGTTTTTTATAATTTTCCTATCACCCGTTGGGTCCTTATGTCACTATGAATCCATCTTTGAACAGCCTCCTTCCCAAGTGCCACTCAGCCCTTGCGTTTCAAAAGCCCCGGGGATGAGAAGAATAGCGAAATTGACTTATTCAAATTGCTGAAAAGGCTTTCTCCAGGTGACCTTGCTACTCCTGGCTCACTTTGGGTGTAGATTTAATACCCAATTATGCCTTCAGTTTGCTTACAGAAGGTGGGAAATATTATTGTCACCTTCTGTGAGCAGAACGACAAATGGCTCGGCTACCTTTTTTTTCAAGTCCCTCTTATTTGGTAACTACAATGCATTTTTCTTTCTGATACAGCTCCTCCCTGCATGGCCTTAACCTCTATTTCTTTTTAATTTAACGCAGCAAAGCATGGCAATGGCCCCAGAGGCCTTTGTCCAGAGAAGCCATAATTCAGTGGTTCAAAGAGGAACAGATTCCACGGCGGGCCGGCTTGGAAAGAAACTCCAACGCTATCGCTCCTTGGTTCCATGGTAAAAAATATATATAATAATAATCTTTATTAGCATTCTGAAGTTTGAAGGTCCTTAACCCATCTGCTTTCTGGGTGACGGTGAATTTCTAGACATACTTTTTCCCTGAAAGGTTGATGGCTTTGAAATGTGTCCAGCATAAGTTTATAAGCTGAACTGCCTTTTTTGTTTTGTATTTCCTTTTTTAAAAGATAAAATGAAGCTGATATATCTCCAAAGGCAGGGGTGGGATTCTACCGGTTCGGACTAGTTCCGGTGAACCCCTTTTCCGACGATCAGCTGCCTCCAAACTGGTTTGCTGTAGGCCCGCCCGCCTGCCCTCCTCTGCTCTTTCCTGTCCTTTATTTCCTGTTTTTAGAGGCTCAGCTGTTTGATTCATAGGGGCTGCAGATGAACAGCTGAAAATGGGTCTCTTAAAATGCAGGTTGCACACGCGAAGCACGCGCTCAACGAACTGGTTGTTATACTGGATGAACTGCACCCCTGTCCAAAGGGCATACCCCAGCTTCACACACACAATATTTATTAGTTGGAGTAACCTAGTGGCTGATGGTGACCAATGTAGTGACCCAGAGATGAAGATGCTCGCCTCCCACTCAGAAGGTTGAGAGTTCGATCCTAGGCAGTGGCAGTTGTTCCTCTATCAGGGCGCAAAGAGAAAATATTTGCTGTGAACTCTGTGTAGGTGTCAGGAAGGGCATCTGGTCAGTAAATGCTCAGCTCCATTCACTCACCCTGACTGAATGGGATTACTATTTTTGCAGAAAGTGCTCAAATAACTTTATTCCCCAGGTGGTTTACAATATGAAACAATAAACTGCAGTTTATAAATACAGTAGCATATATTGTTTAGGATAAAAGTTGGCACTGAGAAAGAAAACTAAATAACATATATTCACAGTGGCACAGAATCACCAGACTTCATTTGACTAAAAGGAGACAAAGGGGTTCACAATACTTTGAAAAATGAAAACAAAAAAGCAACCCTGACCCTTTTAGGTATTTAAACACTCTTAAAAGCTTTTTCCAAGTAACAATTCTGTTCATAATCTGCATCTCACCAGAGCAGAACTAGAGAATCTGTGGTGGCTGTTTTTAATACCAGGCACTTAAAAATAAATGACTTGGAGCAAATGTAATTGCATAGAAGGGGGGTGGGAGGAAGGAGCATGAGGAAGGGAAAGGTCTTGGAGAGGAACAGACCACATCTGATCAAAAATTTAATGTGTGAAAGAGGGGAGGATATTCTGAACTAGAACATCTTTTCTGATAGACATCAATTTCTGGAATTTCAGAGAACTTCAAGCTTAATCTACAGAGTACAAACAAGCAACAAGTGATAAATTAATAAATTAATCATTGTTCTGTTATTCTGACAATAGCCCTATATCAAGTAGATTTATTTGTTTTCCAAAATAGAAATTTTTCTAATGAAATTGTCAATAGGTACAAATGGAATAGAATAAGACTGCATAGCATGCTTGGAACAATTCTGGATCAATTCTGGAAGGACCATCAAAGTAGGAAGGAGAGAACTTTCTGGAAGGTCTCATTCGGCTTTACTTTTCCAGGGTCAGCTAAGCTTGGTGAAAGGCCACAATAGCTGGTCACTTAGGACCAACTTTGAAAGTTCAGTACACAGTCATTGTCTAGCTTGTTGTGTGGCAGTCGGATATCTTCCAGTAATGCTAAAATTTTTGGGAAGTTCATAATCTAGTTCATAAAACTAGAGAGCCAGCTTGGTCTAGGGGTTAAGGCACCAGGCTAGAAAGTAGGAGATCGTGAGTTCAAGTCCTGCCTTAGCCATGAAAATCTGTTGGGTGACTTTTTGGCCAATCACCAGTAGGTGATGAGTTCTAGTCCCTCCTTAGCTATGAAAGCCAGCTGGCTTTGGGCCAGTCACCCACTTTCAGCCCAATTTACCTCACAGGGTTGTTGGTGTGGGTAAAATAGACAGAATCAGAGGTGGTATTCAGCAGGTTCTAATCGGTTCTGGAGAACTGGTAGCGGAAATTTTGAGTAGTTCGGAGATCCAGCAAATCCCACCTCTGACTGAATCTGCCCCCTCTATTCTCCGCCTCCCATCGAGCCCCAGCTGATCAGCTGGGTCTTCTTTTGTTGCTCTGCACAGAAGAAAGCAGGTTAGTGGGGTGTGGAGGGAATGGAGATTTTTCAGTAATCTTCCTCTGGAGTGGGAAGGCAATGGAGATTTTACAATATCCTTCCCCTGCCACACCCACCAAGCCACCCCACCCCCACCAAGGCATGCCCACAGAACTGGTAGTAAAAAAAATTAATTCCACCACTGGACAGAAGGTGTGTTGATATGTTTGCTGCTTTGAGTTCTTTGTATATATAAAAATGGTGGGATACAGATAGATTGATAGAAAGAAAGAAAGAAAGAAAGAAAGAAAGAAAGAAAGAAAGAAAGAAAGAAAGAAAGAAAGAAAGAAAGAAAGAAAGAAAGAAAGAAAGAAAGAAAGAAATCTTTCTGCAAATGATTATGGCCACTTTCAAGATTCCATCTTCAATAATATAAAACAAGCAATTTCCTAGATTGATTTCCCCTTCTCTTTATTCACAAATACTTTCATTCTTCAAACAGCGTGTTGCTTTACTCTAATTCTGAATAATTGTTTAAGTGTGTTCATCTTTCTGAATGGGCTGTTATTCTAGAGCTGTTGTAGTTGATTAAAGGGGAACCAAGACATTATCAGCCAACTTGATAAATGTTTCAGAGCTGCAGTCTCCCAAAGGAAGCAAGCAGAATATCCAAGCAAGGTAACATGAGCAGTGACATATGGCAAGGAGAAAGGAAGGGAAATATATATAAAATATCAGCATTGCTATTATGGTGAAATGAGAGACCCAGAGTCCTGAATTATTCATACCGATGATCTAATTGCTAATGTGAAAATAGATTTTGCTAGCCTCCTACAATACGCCAAACATCTTTGGTTTGTGTTTAACTCAGACTCAGGTGTTTATGTACTACGAAGACCAAGGATGAAGTTGCTTTTAGTGATTCAAAAAGGAAAAGAAAAGAATGATGGTGCTAAGATAGATGTAAAGAGGGGTTGGCATCCACTTATTCAAAGGTTTATGAATGAAAGCATATTGTTGGCATTGGGTCCCATTCACTGACTTCAAGACGAGTTTCCAGTTCAGTGTAAGCTTTTCGTCTAACATTGTGTTTAAAGCAATGAGGAGCAGCCTGGCAGCCCAGTGGAGAAGACACTTGCCTCCCACTTGGAAGATTGAGAGTTCAATCCTAGGTAGCAGCAGATGTTTCTCTTCAATAAAGGAAAATATTTGTAGCTCAGGGTTGAAATGAGGAGTCCTTGGTGCTCTCTGAGCTTGTTCATTTTCTTGCAGATGTTTCCTTATCCTAACTGGGTAACATCACCAGTGGTAGCAAATGTTTCATTAGCCTAACCTAGTTGGGGTAATGAAATTTTTGCAAGAAGACAAGCAAGCTCAAAGGGCACCAAGGACCCCTCAGATGTTTCTCTCCTCAGGAACAAAAGAAAAAAAAAAGTCTGCTGTGAACTTCATGTAGGTATCAGGAAGGGCATCTGGGCAGTAAACATTCTGTTCCAGCCAGTCGCCCCGACCCTACCCACTGATTAATTGTTCTCACTGTCAGGAAATTTATCCTGAGTTCCAGGTTGCTTCTCTCCTTGATTAGTTTCCATCCCTTGCTTCTTGTCCTGCCTTCAGGTGCTTTGGAACAGCGGTCGGCAACCGGTGGGCTGCGAGAAAATTTTGGTGGACCACAGCATGCTGAGGTGGGGAGGCGGGGCAGTCTCCCGTGTCATGGCTGCTGCCTCCTGCCTCAGCGCATCGAGGAGGCTGAACACCAGCGGGGAGAGTGCAGACCTCATGAGCCACAGGAAGCAGCTGCCCTCAGGTGAAGATGTTGCGAGGGGGAGGCTCAACCCCCCCCCTCTTCCTCCTCGCCAGAAGTGCTCACACGCTCAGTGGGAAGGAGGCGGCTTGTCAGGGGCCAGAGAGGCGGTGAGCACTTTGCATGTGAGTGCTTCTGTCGAGGAGGAAGATAAGCTTCTGGGTGGGGTGGGGTGTCAAGTCTCCCCCTTGCAACATCTTCCCTTGAGGGCATCGCTGGCAGCCACTCAACCTCCTCGATGCACAGAGGAAAGAAACAGGAGGTGACACCAATTCAGAGGATCCTTTCCCCTTACCCGCACCTCCTTGCAGGCCAAGCCTATGCGTCTGTGTCAGTTTCCTTGTCCCTCTCACCGCTCTGCTCTGCTGCCCCACCACCATGGCCCCAACTCTCACTGCCTGGGGAAAGCACAGGAAAAGTGAGCAGAAACAGAGCTCTCGCTGGAGTGAAAGAGCTCAGATTGAGGAAGGCACCGGCCAGAGAAGACGGAAACTGCCACCTTTGAAAAGCGCTGCTTTCTGTTGCCTGTGCCTTCCGATATCTGCTCTTTTGCCCTAGCGAGAGCTGTTTTTGATCGCTTTCTTTTCCTGGAAGGGAGGCAGCAGAGACACCAGGGCTGCTCTCCCCCCTCAGCAAGCCAGGCCTGGAGGAACGCGAAGAATTGCAGGCGAGCGCTGGTGTGTTGGACATGCCAACACATGTTTCCAGCATGCTCTCCTCTGTCCCGAAGTAGGACTGAGTGGTGGGAAGGGAGCAGGGAGAAGGGTAGGAGGGAAGGAGAAGCCAGGCTGGCTTTCCTTTGGCATGGGGAGTGGGGAGACCAAATGCACAGACCAAAAGACTGCCGAGGAAGACGGGCTCCTAATAACCAGCCTGTTTGTGCAGGCGAGAGCTCAAGCTTTTCTGGGCTCGACACCTTCCTTTTGGCCTCCACACAGGGAGGGATCCTTCTCTGCTTCAAAGCAGTGGGGGAAACCTGGAGCTCAGCTTCGCCGAGTCCTCTTATGTGGAGGCCGAAGTGGGGGGGGTGTTGCTTGGTTATTAGGAGCCAGTCTTTGTCTGCAGTTCCAGCCAGGCCCTCCTTCCCTCCCCC